GGCATGCAGAGGAGGACACCAATTGGAACGCGTTTGCACTACTCGGCATGATTGCCCTCAGCCCAGCTTCCCCCCAGCCCTGGGGACACCTCGCTCGACACTGACGGGGTCTGGGATTAACTACTCCAGGCCATTCCCGGACCCCGCGGACACAAAATGCTACGTGGCTGGGCCCTTGCCGTCCCTCCCCCCTCCTCGGTGAAGCCCGTGACGCCGGGAGGGTACAGAGATTGGCTCCGCCATCGGAGGCGACGACGACAGGGGCGAATAGCCCAGGGGCGGGCAGGACACGTGTTCGCCCGGGAGCCTCGCCGTAGACATGGACCATCGCCCCTGGATACCTGCGTTTAGGGGAACGAAGAATGACATAAACATAGAAACTTGGAGGTCCCCGCGGATTTCTCGGATCGGCGCTGGACCCCCTCCCTGGCGCGCGGAGCGCGCCAGGGGCGGCGCCGCAGGCGCTGCCAGGGAGAAGTCCGCGCGGACCTCCGAGTTTTTATGTTTGTGTCACTCCTCGTTCCCCTGTGTGTTGCCCCCCCCCCCCTGGTGTCTTCGCCCCCCTCCTCGCCCCCGAACCGACACCGACCCCGAAAGTAGCCAGGGCCCTCCTGCACGGCCTCCCCGCTGGACCCAGGAGAGGGCGCCAAAACGCGCCCGCCCTGGGCGGGGCGGCCCGAGACCGGCCCCTGGCGCCAGGATCGGCGCAGGCGTGCCGCTGGGCGCCTCCGGCATGCGGCTGGCGGGGAGGCGCGACCCCGGGCACCCGACGGCCCAGAGATCCAACGCACTGAAAAAGATCAGGACGGAGGTTCTTCGCCAATTTCGGCCCCCAGGGGCCCTCGCCGGGCCTCGGGACCGTCAAAAAACGACTCAGGATGAGAAACCGGTCCTCTTGAATAGGTCGAGACTTCCGGGGACCCTGCATTGCAAAAATCCCGACATCGGCTCCCTGGACCCCGGGCAGATCCGACGATGCGACTCTGCCCATGCGCTGCCCCAGAGGTCCCGGCCCTTTCCCCACAGGACTGAAGGGGCCCCAGGACACAGAAATGAATACACACAAGTACAAGGAATCCCCGTATTTTCCCATATCCTCTGGGTTTTTGTCTCCCCCCCCACTCCCCATAGTTTCCCATATCTTCCTGGGAATCTCGACGACTCATTGTGTCTGTGTGTTTTGCTTTTCCCTCCTGAAGGACAGCAGCCTCCCTCGCCCTGGAGCCACACAGCGCTCCACGGCCCCAGAGGGGGCCCGAGGGCCGGGCCCGCAGCGAGGAGGAGAGAGGCCGCCGGGGCGGAGAGCCGCTCGGCGCAGCTCCGGGAGGCGCGGTCGGGGAGCTCCGCGCTCCACAGTGCGGCATTGAGCCAACCGCACCGTGGAGATGAGGCTCGAGGTCTGGGCAGCCGCCTCTACAAGAAGGGGCAGGACGGCCTGCCCGACCTTGATTTGGACTGCAAGCTTCTTTCCTAGGGGAGGCCCTGTCGCTGGCCCACGGTGCGGTTGGCTCAATGCCGCACTGTGCAGGGACTACCCACCAGACCACCCCGACCTAACCCGCAGACCCGAATTTCGGGTTGGGGGAGGAACCGGTTCCACACGTGCTTGTTCCATGTTCCCCGCCCCCCCCCCCACTGGAGATGGAGGGCAAGTCGGGGCCTTCGGGCTGGGTTGGGGCGGCTCGGTGGGCGGTGAGCAACGAGGATGGCCAGGGGGAGGGGCGTCCACCCCGCCGGCAGCCCCACGTGGGCCCCGCAAGCCGCAGGCGCTCCAGCTCACGGCGCGGCACGCAGGCGAGGCAAGGCTGACCCCCGTCGGGGGGGGGGCGGCGCGCTTGAAGAGAGCCACCCATGTAGCGGGCCGACCCCCCGGCCAACCCCCAGTCAGCCATCTGGCCAACCTGGGCAAACCCAGAGCAACCCTGGCCGACCCCATCCCGCCCAACCCCTCCAGCCGACCCTGGTCAGGGTGACCACCTCAGCAAGACATCATACCAGTAGCACCGAGCGCAGAGTACGGCCGGGTCTGGGGCAGAAGAACATCCTTCAAGAACATGAGACCCTCCGCCGACCAAGCCGAAGAACATTCGAGGGTACCCTCCCCCAGAATGCACAAGAACATGCAGCAAGCACGAAGAACACCAGGGTGCGTACCCTCCCCGAACCGACCTCGATCATATACCTCGGTCCGACCGCACGCCAGCAACAGCCAGGATCACGGGACAAGGGGGAGCAGAATGACACAACAGGACGGCAGGGGGTGGGGGGCAACGATACGAGGGGACAGGCATAGGGGGGGAAACATCGACCTGGAATCGGCGACACACCGCCGATAGATCGCGATAGGCCCCCGATCGTAAATCCGAACGTTCCTGGGCAGGTTGGGGCTGCCGGGCCCCTCGTCGGCGATGAATGCACGACTGGGGGTCCGTGCATCCCCCCCTCATGCCTATCCCCCCCCTATCGTTGCCCCTGGAGGGGGGGAGGCGCCGGAGCGCAGGCAGCGGAGGGGGGGGAGAGGAGAGGAGGCAGGGGGGGGAGAGGAGAGGAGGCCGCCGCACCCAGATCAAGCGGCACGCGGGGCGCAGAGAGGGCGTGGAGGAGGACGAGGAAGACGAGCACGAGAACGGCGACGAGGACGGCGAGGATGGCGCTGACGCGGAGGAGGAGCAGGACGAGGACAAGGACGACGACGAGGACGACGACGCAGCCAAGCCTGGGGGTCCGCCCGAGGGCCTCTCGACCGAGCTGTGTTGCCGGCGCACAGGCGTCAGTCAGAAGAAGGGGCCCGAAGGAAGGGTCCTCCTCCGGCTATTCGTCGACGTCCTCGCTCTGCTCCTGCTCATGTTCCTGATCATGCTCCTCGTCTTCGTCACTGTCGTCATCGTCGCCCTACTCCTCCTCAAAACTTCTCCGCTGTCCTCCCCTCCAACATCGTCATCTTCATCCAACTCTTCCTCCTCCTGCTCTTCATCCTTCTCCTCCTCCTCCCACTCTTCCAATCCTCCTCCTCCTCCTCCTCCTCCTCCTCCTCCTCCTCCTCATCATCATCATCATCATCATCATCATCATCATCATCATCATCATCATCGTCAGCATCATCATCAACATCATCAGCAGCAGTATCATCATCAACCTTATCAGCATCAACATCAACATCAACATCATCATCATCATCATCATCATCAGCATCATCATCATCATCATCATCATCATCATCATCATCATCATCATTACGACCACCACCACCACCACCATCATCAGAATCATCATCATCATCAGCAGCATCATCATCGTCATCGTCATCACCATCGTCATCATCCTCATCGTCATCATCACAATGATCAGCATATACATCATCATCGTCATCATCGGCACCACCACTACCATCACTGCCATGTTCATCATCATAATCATCATAATCAGTATCACGACCATGTGTATATCATCATCAGCAATCATCATCAGCAGCATCATCCTCAGAATCATCAGAACCATCATTTTTGACCGCATCATCATAGTACTCAGCATCATCATCAGCAGCATCAGGACCAGCGTAAGCGTCAGCATCATCATCATCATGATCATGATCATCATCATCAGCAGCAGCATCAGCATCATTACAGTGGGTGCCAGTCCAAAAGAAACCTTCACAAGACACCCAACACTGAGACCCTAGGACGCCCATTGATTTTGGTGTGGGAACGACACGCTGCCCATCGCAAAACCATCGAAACCCAAGAAACCAAGGGCACCCTGGAGGCAAGCAGGATGTTTCTAAGCATGGGCCTCCACTGTGACACCATCATCATCATCATCATCAGCATCATCATCATCAACAACATCATCAACATCATCAGCAGCAGCAGTCGCATCATCATCAGCATCATCAGCAGCATCATCATGAGCATCAGTATCATGATCAGCAGCATCGGTATCGTCATCATCGTCATCGGCATCGTCATCGTCATCGTCGGCGTCGTCGCCATCATCACACTTACAAGCACTATCACCATCACCATCACCATCACCGTCACCATCACCATCACCATCATCATCGACATCATCATCACCAGAGACACCATCAGTATCAGTAGCACCACCACCATCATTATCATTACCATCACCGCCACTATCATTGTAGCCACCGCCACCACCTGAACAATCATCATCATCAGCCGCAGCGGCAGGAGCTGCGTCATCACCGTCATCATCACCATCACTATCATCATCACCACCCCCGTCACCACCATGATCATCATCACCCTCATCATCCCCCCTCTTCACCATCGTGTGTTCGTTCTCGATCCGCCCCCGTCGCAAACCTCTGGCTCCGCGGCCTCCTCCTCGTTCCCACCGTCTTCTGCTCATAGTCGTCATCACCAGCATCAGCATCAGCATCAGCATCAGCATCAGCATCAGCATCAGCATCAGCAGCATCATCACCGTCATCAACATCATCATCATCATCAGCATCATCATCAGCCCTTCTAATCCTCGTTCCCAATTGCTGCACCCTCCTCTTCCTGCCTCGTTCCCCCCCCCCTCTGCCTCCTCAAACCCGTCCTCATCAAAATTCTCGTCCCCATCACCCAACCACCATCACCATGATCACCCCCCGTCGGACGCCAGTCCAGGCGAGGGAGGAGGAGGAGGAGAAGGAGGAGGAGAAGGAGGAGGGGGAGGAGGAGGAGGGGGAGGAGGAGGAGGCTCAGGGGATACGACATCATGGTCCTCATCCGACATCCTCCGTACTCCCCCTTCTGCCATTCCGTGTGCCAATCCTCGCTCCTGCTCGTCACGCCCACATCGCATCAACCGCCTCGATCTCTCCTCCCTCGCCACCCACCCCCACATCGTGGTCCACTTCCTCCTCCTCATCCTTCCTCTCCTCCTCGTGCTCCTGTCCGATGTTCGACTCCTGATGTCCCTCGGGCCTTCATGGTGCGAAGGCCAGAGGAGCCTGATCCAGAAGACCTGGGAAAGGAGGAGGTGAGACCAGGGAAGAGGAAAACGCAAATGTCGGGAAGGCAGAAGAGGAGGAAGGCGGGGAGGGGATACGTCTAGAAAAACCGCAAAACGTGCTGCTGAGATTGGGCGAAGGAATTTAGTCTGAGGGTTCATTGCTCACTGTGCCACATCCTCTTCAGCATCATCAGCAGCAACAGCATAGTCCTAATCAGCAGCATCATCAATGCCATTATCAACATCACCATCATCACCATCACCACCATCATCATCATCATCATCAACATCATCATCATCAGCATCATCATCACCACCACCACCACCATCATCATCATCATCATCAGCAGCAGCATCAACAGCATCATCATCGTCACCATCATCACCATTAGCACCATCATCATCAACCGGTTCAGACCAGCACCATGCATCATGTTCATCAGCATCCTCCGCATCATCGCCATCACCATCAGCAGCATCATCAGCAACAGCATCCTGACGGGCATCATACCCTACCCAGCAGCATCATCGGCATTGTCAGCATCATCACCATCACCATGACATCGTCATCATCAGCAGCACCATGCGAATCAGCGTCCTCATCATCCTCATCGTCATCATTTTCAAGGTCGTCATCATCGGCATCATCATAAGCATCAGCATCATCAGCATCTGCGTCATCGTCATCGTCGCCATCAACATCAACATCATCGTCAACATCATCATCAGCAGCATCATCGTCGTCGGCGTCGGCGCCGTCGACATCATCAGCATCATCAGCAGCAGCACAATCATCATCAGCAGAATCAGCATCACCGTCATCAGCATCAGCATCATCATTAGCAACATCGGAATCGGCATCGTCACCATCATCAGCATCATCACCATCACCATTACATCGTCATCATCATCAGCAGCATCAGCATCAACATAATCGTTATCATCATCACCATCATGAATATCATCATCCGCAACAGCATCGTCATCATCGACACCGTGATAAGCATCATCGTAATCATCAGCGTCATCACCATCGTCACCATCAACAATAACATCAGCATAATCAGCATCATCATCAGAATCAGCATCGTCATCGTACTCATCATCGTCGTCGTCATCATCGTCGACGTTGCCATCATCACGATCACCATCACCATCACCGTGACCATCACCATCATCATCGTCATCGTCATCATCAGAGTCATCAGAGGCATCATCAGAATCATCATCATAGTCACCACGATCGTCATTACTACCACAACCATCCTCATAATGATCATCAGCAGCATCCTGAGCATCATCATCGTCAGCATCATCCTGTGTAGCAGCAGCAGCTGCTGCATCACCATCACCATCACCACCGTCATCATCATCATCATCATCGTCATCATCATCATCATCATCATCATCATCATCATCATAATCAGCATCGTCATCACCATCATTATCGTCAGCATCATCATCATAACCACCATCATCATCACCGTCACCATCGCCATCACCACCACCACCACCACCATCACGATCATCAGCAGCATCATCATCAGCAGAAGCATCCATAATCCCGTCATCGTCATCATCATTATCATCATCATCATCATCATCATCATCATCATCATCATCATCATCATCATCATGATCAACATCATCATCATCACCATCATCATTGTCGTCATCGTAATCGCCATCATCAGCATCGTCTTCGTCATCATCAGAATCAGCATCATCATCATCTTCATCATCAGCAGCATCACCAGCATCATCATCAGCATCATCAGGATGAACACCATCATCACCAGTATCAGCATCATCATACTCATCATCACCACCATCAGCATCAGCGTCATCATCATTATCATCGTCATCATCGTCATCATCGTCATCATACTCATCGTCATCATCATCATCATCATCATCATCATCATCATCATCACCATCATCATCATGATCAGCAGCAGCAGCAGCATCTTCATTATCGTCACACTCATCCTGTTCTCGATTCACCATCGTATTTCTCGTCATCGCCCCGCCCCCGTCGCAGCCCTCCCGCTCCTCGGCCTCCTCCTCCCCTTTCCCACCGTCCTCGCCATCCTCTTCTCTCGCCCTGCCGTTCGCCCTCTGGTCGCCAAGATCAAAACAGCTTCGGATGGGAATGAATCAAAAATCTCTGAGATCTGGCGGTTCTGGCATATGCATCGGGCGCCGCGGCCGGTGAAGAGCGTTCCGGAACGCGTTCGGAGTAATCCGGATCGCCCTGGAGCGATTCATCCCGTCCCTAGGCCTGCCCTGCATTGCCTCATCCCCTTCCTCCCCGTCCTCGCCAGCACGGGTCCATGGGTGCCTCCCTCGCTTGCCGTGTATGCGGCTGTCGTCTTGCCTTGCTCTTCCCGTCGGTATTGTCTCCCATCCTGCTCCTAGGATGTTGAACTCGTCGCGGTCTGGCTTTGCGCGTCGCGTCGGCCGCCGCCACTGTTGCTGTCTTCGTCATCCGAGTCGTTGGCCCTGACGAGGGGGTGGCAGCAACAGTGGGTGGCGAGGGTGCGAGCTGAGCTCGACTTGTCTGACTGCTCCCGAGGGAAGGGGGACTGGGGGGCTGTGTTCAGGGGAAGCTGAAGCACCGCTCAGCGATATGCCATCAACCAAGTCTGCAGGATAGACCCTCTCCATTTCTGTCATCTTCAGCTTTGGCTTCGGCTTGAGCTTTGGGTGCACTTCGAAGCGTCGTCTGTTCAGCTCAACCGAGTCGATATTCCGCTCGCACATATGCCTCCATGCCTCTCTCCCTCCTGCTACTCGTCCTCTCGTCCTTCTCCCCCAGTCTCCTTCTCCCTCTTCTTCTTCCTCCTCCTCCTCCTCCTCCTCCTCCTCCTCCTCCACCTCCTCCTCCTCCTCCTCCTCCTCCTCCTCCTCCTCCTCCTCCTCCTCCTCCTCCTTCCCCTGCCCCACCCCCTCCTCATTCTCATCCTCCCTTGTCCTTGCTACTCGCCATCCTCGCTCCCGAATCTCCCTCCCTCTGTCCCTCCTCCGCCTCCGCCTCCGCCTCCGCCTCCGCCTCCGCCTCCTCCTCCTCCCAGTTCTCGGCCTCCTCGCCCAACTCCCTCCTCCTCCTCCTCCTCCTCCTCCCTCCTCTCTCCTCTCCTCCTCCTCCTCCTTCCCCCTCTTGTCCCAGTGGGGGGGGGAAACATCGACCCGGAGTCCCCCGATCGCAAGACCGCTCGCTCCTGGGCGGGGCGGGCTGTCGCGCCCCCTCTCGGCGACGCATGGGCGATTGGGGGTCGACGCGCCCCCCGCTGAGGACTGTCCCCGCCTACCTAACGCTGCCCCTCCCCCCCCCCTCCTCGTGTTGCACGGTCTGCTACTCGAGCTAGGTCCGCAAAACTATTCGTATCGCTCGAGTCACTTCGACAGGCATCTTCGGGGGACCTTGTGCGTCCCGTCCCGCCCCGATGCGCGTCGAATCCGTGCCGAATCCATGTCGGACTCGTCGAATCCGCGTCGAATCCGCATCGGACCCACGCCGGAGCCGCGTCGAGTCCGCATCGAGCCCGCGGCGGGCACGAGAGAAGACGCCAACACTTGGGGGGCCAGGCGAGGCCCACCCGCAGCTGCAACGTATCACCCTCCCTCCGTCGGGCGCGAGGGACCGGGGCGGAGGCCTCCCGCGAGCTCCCTGGACAGGACTCCCAGCAGGGACAGCAGCGAGTAGATGTAGCCTGCGGGCGTGCGCCACCGGGGCATCTGCGCACCGCCCGGCTCTGCCTTGGAAGAGCCGACGACGAGGTCTGCTGCTCGTTCCGCGCCGGCGTCTCTGTGGCCTCGCCTCGGACCTCCCAGGGCCTCGCCTCGGGCCTGGGGACCCCGGGGCCAGCAGGTGTACCTCCGGGGCGGAGAACTGGCCCCAGAGCAGGGGCCACATGCGAACCCGACCCCTACCCCCCACGATTTCTGAGGGGGAGGGTGGAGTTCACATAATTTAGGAGCTCCCGAGCGAAGTGAACCCCACCCTCCCCCGCAGAAATCGTGGGGGGTAGGGGTCGGGTTCGCATGTGGCCCCCTATCAGAGGCCTCATGAATGGTGTCCGAGCAGATAGGGTCGGTGGATCGCGCCGCATCGCCGATGCATCGGCGATGTGATTGTCGGCGACGTCGGCGCAAGTCGGCGCCGTCGACGTGGAGGAAATCGGGCTCCACACCGGGCCGCCTCGCCGATACATCATCGGCGATGCGGCGCGAGCCACCGACCCCATCTGCTCGGACCCCACCTGCTCGGACCGGGGCGCAGACGGGCAGGCCCAGTCGGGGGGCCTTCTAAACTCAAGCTTTCGGAGCTCCGCGCGGACTTCTCTGATCGGCGCCAGGCCCCCCCAGGAGGCGCCTCTGGCGACGCCCGTGGCGCGCTCCGCGCGCTGGGGAGGGGGGGCCAGCGCTATGTCGGGCGTGTCCCCCTACAGGGGGATTTTCGACGAGAGAAAAAAACCTTGAAAATACCCCAAAAAAGGTCCATGTTTTATTATTTGGGGGGTATGTTTTATTTTTCGTCGAAAATCCCCCTGTAGGGGGACAGGCCCGACATAAGCCCAGCGCCGATACGAGGCCTCTGCGCTGAGCTCCGAAAGCCTGTGCTTCTGCGGGGGGGGGGGGGACCCAGGAGGGGGGCGTCCCAGCGGGGGGCTCGCAGAGCACGGCCCGAGGCGCGCGCGCGGCCCCGGGGGGCACCACCGGGCGTTCCTCGTCCGTTCCCCCCCCCTTCTCCCCTGCGGGGAGGGGTTTACCCCTCCTCCCCACGCCCTCGCGTGACGCGATGCGCTGGAGCATCAAAAGAAAGGCCTCGGGCAGAAGGCACGAATCACTGCTTTCACCAGGGTTTTGGCCCGAGTTGGGCACCCTGGGGGAGGGGGGCTAATTCATCCCCGCCCCTTCTTTGATCGATCACCTCCAAGATGGCCCCAAGATTGCCCCCGAGGCTTCCAAGATTGCCCAAAGAGGGCCCCCAAGAGGCGCCCAGGAGGCCCCACGAGGCCCCCAAGATGCCCCAAACAGGCCCCCAAGAGGTTCCCAAGAGATCCCCCAAAGGCCCCGAGGGGTTCCCCCGAGGCACCCAAGACACTTCAAGAGACCCCCAGGACCGCCAACAGGCTTCCACACGCTCAAACAGGCCTACAGGAAGCTCTCGAGAGACATCCGAAGAGGCAGCGAGAAGCATCCAAGATCGAGGCAGCTGGCCTTTCTGTTCGCCCTCCTTCTCCTGCTCCTCATCTGAGTCCTCCTCGATCCTCTCCCTCTTGGGGTAGGACGGTTTCCCAGCCTTGATTCCACTGCGTGCTCCCCCACATGCCTGACCTGGGCAGATCGCCTGGGCGCCGTTTCTGGATGGGCTGGTGCGGCCACGCGAAGCGCCGCGAACTAGTCGCCATCACCCTGCTCCTGGCCGCCCCCAGACGCGGGGCGAGAGGATGAGGACGAAGGCGAGGCGGGCTGGGGAGGCAGCACCGTCGTCATCGTTGTCGTCGTCGTCGTCGTCGTCGCACCCGCCGCCTCCGCCCGACTCTCCGCCAGCCGTGCCCCGACTCCTGCCCCGCTCCTCGACCCCCTTCCGGCCTTCCCCTCGCCATCCCCGACGCCCTGTCCTTGCCGCCCCCTCCTCCCCCTCCTCCCCCTCCTCGTCCACCTGCTCCTCTTTCCCCACATTCTCCTTACATCCTCTCTTTTTCCGCGTCCTCCTCGTCCCCTGTTTACTCCTCCTGCCTCCCCCTCCTTTCCCAAGATAACGGCAACGCAATCCTTTTTTCAATTTTATGCTCCCCGACTTCTCTGATCAAGGCAACTCGCCAGGGCAAAGTTGCTGGACGGGCTGGTGTGGATGCGCGGAGCTTGAAGAGGTCGTTGCGGGCTCAGACGGCATGCAAAAATCCGCCGCCGCGTTTGTGCGGCATTGGTTTGTTCAGTGAACGTGGTTTAGGTCGCGGATGGGACGCGGGCTCTCCACCTCCACCTGGAAGGAATGCAAAAGCAGCCCGCCGCAGGCGCCGAAAACATTGGTTTGTATGCCCGCCGCAGGCGCCGAAAAACTTGGTGCGTACCCTGAACGTGGTCGCGGGTGGGCCGCGGGCTCTCCACTTGAAACGAATGCAAAAGATGCCCGCCGCAGGCGCCGAAAAATGTGGTTTGTATCCTGAACGTGGTTTGGGTTGCGGGTTGGTCGCGAGTTGGTCGCGGGACGAGTCGCGGGCTCTCCACCTGGAAGGAATGCAAAAAAAAACCCGCCGCAGGCGCCGAAAATTGTGGTTTGTACCTTCAACGTGGTTTGGGTCGAAGGTGGGTCGCGGGTGGGTCGCGGGGTGGGTCGCGGGTGGGTCGCGGGTGGGTCGCGGGTGGGTCGCGGGTGGGTCGCGGGGTGGGCGCGGGGGGTCGCGGGGCGGGTCGCGGGGGGGTCGCGGGGTGGGTCGCGGGGTCGCGGGGTGGGTCGCGGGGTGGGTCGCGGGTGGGTCGCGGGTGGGTCGCGGGTGGGTCGCGGGTGGGTCGCGGGGTGGGTCGCGGGGTGGGTGGGTCGCGGGGTGGGTCGCGGGGTGGGTCGCGGGGTGGGTCGCGGGTGGGTCGCGGGGTGGGTCGCGGGGGGGTCGCGGGGCGGGTCGGGTGGGACGGCGACAACAACAACAACAACAACAACAACAACAACAACAACAACAACAACAATTACTAGCACGTGGGGACACTCCGTTCTCACCAGTGCCAGGGTTTTCATAGGAGGCGGGCAATACCCCCACTTTGTGGGGGGGCCGGTTCAAGCTCTACCAAATTTCCAAACGACTCTTCGCCACCACCCACACCCAGCTTCCCGCCCTATGACGTTCGGACACTTCACTTCGTGGCATGCGGACGACCGTGGCTACTATTCAGGGCCCCGCGGCCGACGACGACGGCGTGCGCGCGCGAAGAAAAAACGAATGTGTCCCGCATGGTATTATTTGACAGGGATGATGGCCCTGGCAGGTGCGCAACCGTTGTTGCAGAAGTTCGAAAAAGTTGCTCGCAAAAGCCCGTTTGACAGAAATGTTTAAAAAGTGTTGGGTTTCCTACGAATCCGCAAGAGCGCGCGGGATGAAATTTTGACATTTTTTTTTGAAAAACCATTGGTTTTTTGATGTTTTTATGTTAAAATCGCTACGAAAACTAAGGTTTTGGAAGGATTTCGTCTTGCGCGCGCGAATGTCCACTTTACCTTATTTTTGCAAGGGATTCTTGAAGTTTGGTTATGTTAGAACAAGAAATGTCCACTTTAGCTTATTTTTTGCAAGGGAAAACCGATCGTAACAACACAACCGGATCCGGACTCCCCCGTTTTGCCTGAGACTTCCTCACGAAAATGATGAAAATGAGGCTGCGGCCTAGGCGCGGCGGGGGGGTCGTGCACCAGGGGCCCCAACAATAATTATTCTTTAGAAGTAATAATGTTCAACAACAACAACAACAACAACAACAACAACAACAACAACAACAACAACAGCACAGCAACAGCAACAGCAACAGCAAAACTAACAACAACCACAACAACAACAACAACAACAACACCACCACCAACAACAACCACAACAACAACACCACACCACAACCACCACACCAACAACAAAACAACAACAACAACAACAACAACAACAACAACAACAACAACAACAACAACAACAATCATTTTACCCGAACGCGTGGTGTTCTCCCCAGTGCCAGGGTTTTCATACGACACCAGGCAATACCCCCACTTCGTGGGGGGGCATTACAAGCTCTACCAAATATCCAAACGACTCTTCGCGACCACCCAAACCCAGCTTCCCGCCCTATGACGTTGGGACACTTCACTTCGTGGCGTGCGGACGACCGTGGCTACTACACTGGCGTGGGGTACACACCCACAGAACTTAAGAACCCAATGGTTTTTGGAGATTTCGGCGTGCGCGCGCGAAGAAAAAACGAATGTGTCCCGCATGGTATTATTTGACAGGGATGATGGCCCTGGCAGGTGCGCAACCGTTGTCGCAGAAGTTCGAAAAAGTTGCTCGCAAAAGCCCGTTTGACAGAAATGTTTAAAAAGTGTTGGGTTTCCTACGAATCCGCAAGAGCGCGCGGGATGAGATTTTGACATTTTTTTGTTGAAAAACCATTGGTTTTTTGATGTTTTTATGTTAAAATCGCTCCGAACACTAAGCTTTTGGAAGGATTTCGTCTTGCGCGCGCGAATGTCCACTTTACCTTATTTTTTGCAAGGGATTCTTGAAATTTGATTATATTAGAACAAGAAATGTCATTTTATAGTGTTTTTTGCAAGGGAAAACGGATTACAACAAAACAACCGGATCTTGATCACCTCGAATTACCTGAGGCTTCCTCACGAAAATGATGAAAACGTGGCTGCGGCCTAGGCGCGGCGGGGGGGGCGCGCACCAGGGGGCCCAACAATAATTATTCTTTAGAATTAATAATGTTCAACAACAACAACAACAACAACAACAACGAGAATCCGCACCGCGGAATCCCACTTCAGCCACGCACCCAGGGACAGAGAATGACCGTTCGGCCCCCTCACTCTGACCTTTGTCTCGCCCGATCCCTGGCCGCGCCGCTCGCTCGGGGAGCGATCCGTCCCCCCCTGAGCCGCTCGCTCCGTCCGCCCCTGTGTCGGCCGCGCATCCCTCCTCTCCTCCGGTGTCACAACTCGCTCCCACGGCATCCCCCTTTCGGCACCCCATCGCCAGCGCAGACTTCCCCTGGCCAGCCGCCGACGGTAGTGAGAGGGGCAGCCCTTCTCAGAATGCTCGGAAGGCCCCAGGTCCTCCGAGAAGCTGTCCAAGCCCTCTTCGAAGGCAGGGCGGTTTCTCAGAAGGCCAGGGGGCCTCTGGGAAGTCCCGCCGCCTCCTGAGAAGGTCTGCCCCCAGGGCGCTTAAGTCTCGCCCGATCCGCCGTCGCGGGCAACGACGCCCGTCGCCGACGCCGTCGGCGCCAACCTGGCAGGAACCGAGCGGGCCTCGAGGGAAACGGGCCCCGGGACACACAAACAAACACACTCAAGTTTCATGATTCCCCGTATTTTCCCATAGTTTCTGGGTGTTTGTCTTCGCCCCCACTTTCCATATTTTCCCATGTTTTCTCTGGAATCGACGATCAATTGTGTCTGTGTGTTTTTGTCCCCTCCTGCCTCGAGGGAGGCGGGCCCTGGGCCCCGGGGCCTGGCCATGCCCAGGATGAGCCCCTCGCCCCCCGCAGCCGGAGGGGGGTCGATCCCCCGTAAAGGCTCCGACCCCGGGGAGGGGAGAGGGAGAGGGGGAGGAAGGGGGAGGAGGGAGGGAGGGGAGGAGGGAGGGAGGGGAGGAGGAGGGAGGGGAGGAGGAGGGAGGGGGAGGGAGGGGAGGGGAGGAGGAGGGAGGGGAGGAGGGAGGAGGAGGGAGGAGGGAGGAGGAGGAGGGAGGAGGGAGCGGCGCGGATGGGACAAGACAAGTGCCCAGAGGCGAGCCGGGCTTCTGCCACAACGGTGGGTTCCTGCGAGGTTCGCGCCAGGGTCTTTCCTGCGAAGCGGAATAGAGGAGGGTGGAGGAGAGGGGGGAGAGGGAGGAGGAAGGAGGGAGAGGGAGGAGAAGGAGGGGGGGAGGGGCGGGGGGGAACAATCGCGGGCGGGCGGGCGCGCGGCAAGGGCGGGCGAAGGGAGTGGGCAAGGGGGAGAAGGGAGGGAGGCAGAAGACAGGGAGCAAGGGAGGAAGGAGGGAGGAATTACGGGGTTACGGGCATGGCGACAGTGTCGGTAGGAAGGAGGGGAGGGAGGGAGGGAGAGAGTGAGGGAGGGAGGGAGGGCAGGGAGGGAAAGAGGAAGCGAGGGGAGGCAGGAAGAAGAGAGACAGGCGAGAGCGGGCGGGCGCAGCCTGTCGCGCGCCCGGCGCAGCGGTCGAGGGCGGCGGACAGGCCGTCGCCTGCGGCCGCCAAGCGCCGGGCAGCCGCGGCCGCGCGCGGCGCGCCCGTCCCCTGCGAGGCCAGAGCCGGTCGAAGCCCGTCCATGTCTGCACTCCTGTCGGGCCCCGCCTCCAGCGCGGCGCGGTGCATTGGACTACAACTACTAGGACAACAACAACAACAACAACAACAACAACAACAACAACAACAACAACAACAACAACAACAACTACTACGACTTATTACTAATACTATATACACTAAGTACTACAATAAACTACTACTACGTACACGACTACTACTACTACGACTACTACTACTACTACTACGACTACTACTACTACTACTACTACACTTTTATACGAGTACTACTACTACTACTACTACTACTACTACTACTACTACTACTACTACTACTACTACTTTACTCTACTACTACTACTACTACTACTACTACTACTACTACTACTACTACGACTGCTACTACCACTACTACTACTAATCCGACTACTACTACTACTACTACTACTACTACTACTACTACTACTACTACTACTACTACTACTACTACTACTACTACTACTACTACTACTACTACTACTTCTACTCCTACTACTACTACTACTACTCTACTACTACTACTACTACTACTACTACTACTACTACTACTACTACTACTACTACTACTACTACTACTACTACTACTACTACTACTACTACTACTACTACTACTGCTACCACTACTACTACACTACCACTACTATACACTAACACTACCACTACTACCACTACCACTACTACTACTACTACTACTACTACTACTACTACTACTACTACTACTACTACTACTACTACTACTACTACTACCACTACCACTACCACTACCACTACCACTACCACTACCACGACCACGACCACTACCACTACCACTACCACTACCACTACCACTACCACTACCACTACTACCACTACCACTACCACTACCACTACCACTACCTACTACTACTACTACTACTACTACTACTACTACTACTACTACTACTACTACTACTACTACTACTACTACTACTACTACTGCGCAAGGACACTCTCTCAGGCCACCCCGGCGGGGCCCGTGGTGGTGTCCTCGCCAGGGCGAGCGCACCCCCCCAGGCCACACGTTGCAGTTGTTGCCCCCGGGGGGGGGGGAGCAACGCGCAACACCTCTGTCATACGCTGACGTAAATCTATATGTGTTTCCGAATCTCCGTGGGCTCCCTTACTGTTCCCCACGCACTCCTGTGTCCGAAAAACGACCGCGCGCCAGCGAGGCCAGCTCCTCCCCGCTACAGGACTCCTATGGAATCCTGCAGGGCCCTGTAAGGATCCTATCGCATTCCTACATGGTTCCTATGGAATCCTGTGGGACCCTGTACGGATCCTATAGGGCCCCCCATCGGATTCCTAGAGGGTTGCTCTGGAATCCTGTAGGGATCCGATGGGATTCCTATAGGAATCCTACGGCATCCTGTAGGACCCTGTAGGGATCCCATAGGATTCCAATAGTATTACAAACGGATTCCTATGGAATCCTGTAGGACCCTGTAGGGACCCCGTAGGATTCCTATAGGTTTCAGATGGCATCCTGTAGGACACTGAAAGGATCCTACAGGGATCCAAAAGGACCCCAATAGGGTTCCGATTGGAATCCTATGGAATCCTGTAGGACCCTGTAGGAAACCTATAGGACCCCAGTCGGATTCCTATTGGGATCCGATGGAATCCTGTAGGACCCTGTAGGGATCCAATCGGGTTCCAATAGGAGTCTCATAGGCTTCCAATGGAATTCCTATGAAATCCTGTAGGACCCTGTAGGGACCTTATGAAATTGCAGTGAGATCCCAATAGGATTCCTATTGGATCCTGTAGGACCATGAAGGGACCCCATGTGTTTGCAATGAGATTACATTAGGGTTCCTATGGAGTCCTGTAGGGACCCCATCGGATTCCAGTAGTATTACAATAGGATTCCGATGGAATCCGGTAGGGCCCTGTAGGGACACTATAGGATTTTCAAAAAAAAAAAAAAAAAAAAAAAAAAAAAAAAAAAAAAAAAAAAAAAAAAAAAAAAACTATAGGGTTCCTACGGAATCCTGTAGGACCCTGCAGGGACCCCATCGGATTCCAATTGTATTACAATCGGATTCCGATGGTATCCTGTAGGACCCTGTAGGGATATTATAGGATTCCTATAGGGTTCCTATGGCATCCTGTAGGACGCTGAAAGGATCCTATAGGGATCCACAAGGACCCCAATAGTATTCCGATTGCAATTCTATGGAATCCTGTAGGGCCCTGTAGGGAAAGGACCCCAATCGGATTCCTATTGGAATCATATGGAAGCCTGTCGGACCCTGTAGGGATCTTATGGGATCCCAGTAGGAGTCCCATAGGCTTCCAATGGAATTCCTATGAGTCCTGTAGGACCCTGTAGGGACCTTATGGGATTGCAATGAGATTCCAATAGGATTCCTATGGAATCCGGTAGGACCCTGTAGGGACCCCTATGGGTCTCCAATGAGATTCCAATAGGCTTCCAATGGAATCCGGTAAGACACTGTAGGGATCCCATCGGACTCCAGTAGTATTACAATAAGTATCCGATGGAATCCTGTAGGACCCTGTAGGGACCCTCTGGGATTTCCAATAGGATTACTATTGGATTCCTATGGAATCCTGTAGGACCCTGTAAGGACCCTATCGGATTTCCCATGGGATTCCAATAGGATTCCTATGGAATCCTCCAGGATCCTGTAGGGATCCTATACGATTCCTAGAGGATTCCAAATGGTTTCCGATGGAATCCTGTAGGACCATGCACGGATCCTACAGGTTTTCCCAAATATTCCAATGGGATTATCATGGAATCTTGTAGGAACCTGTCGGGATCCTATAGGATTCCTACAAGATTCCAATTGGTTTCCGATGGGATCCTGTAGGACCCTGCAGGGATCCTGAAGGTTTTCTCATGGATTCCAATAGAATTATCATAGGATCCTGTAGGACCCTGTAGGGATCCTATCGGATTCCTACAGTATTCCAATTGGTTTCCTATGGACTCTTGTAGGACCGCGCAGGGATCCTGCAGGATTCCAACCAGATTCCTATAGGGTGCCTATGGAATCCTGTATGACCCTGTAGGGATCCCGTAGAATTCCGATTGGCAATCTATGGAAACCTATGGGATTCTGTAAGGATCCTGAAATATTCAAAAAGAATTCCTACGGAATCCTTGAAAGGGGTGCGCCGAAATCAAGTTTCGGTGGAGCTCCCTGAGCCACGATCCTCGAGAGGGGTGCGCCGAAATCGAGCCTCGGTGGAGTTCCCTGTGGGGCCAGGCCCACGATCCGCGAGAGGGGTGCGCCTTTTGGGGCCTGCATGGGACTGCGCAGCAGCCCCGAAAAGGACCTTCCGAGCAACGCCGCCGGGCCTTGCAGATCCCCGCAGCGGCCTGGCGAGGCCTCGTGGCGTTGCTCGGACCAGGGGCCCTGCGGGGCCCGTGCGGGGCCCCGTGGCGTTGCTCGGGGGGGGGGTCGAGCAATGGGCCTCCAGTAGTGCCCTCGCGTAGTACTACTACTATTACTACTATTACCACTACTACCACTACTACTACTACTACTACTACTACTACTACTACTACTACTACTACTACTACTACTACTACTACTACTACTACTACTACTACTACTACTACTACTACTACTACTACTACTACTACTACTACTACTACTACTACTATTACTACTACTACTACTACTACTACTACTACTACTACTACTACTACTACTACCCTACTACTTCTTCTACTACTACTACTACTACTACCTTCTACTACTACTACTACTACTACTACTACTATTACTACTACTACTACTACTACTACTACTACTACTACTACTACTTTACCTACTACTACTACTACTAACTACTACTACTACTCCTACTACTACTACTACTAATTACTGCTACTACTGCAACCTTCTGATACAAACGCTACTAACTACTGCTACTACTACCTACTACTACTACTAACTACTACTACTACTACTACTACTACTACTACTACTGCTACTAACTGCTACTATTTATTTAACTACTACTACTACACTACAACTACTACTACTACTACTACTACTACTACTACTACTACGACTCACTACTACTACTACTACTACTACCTTCTAAACTCTACTACTACTAACTAATACTACTACTACGACTTATACGATTTCTCCTACTACTATTACTACTACTACTACTACCACTACTACTACTACTATTGCTACTACTACTACTACTACTACTACTACTGCTACTATACTACTACTACTACTACTGCTACTACTACGACTACTACTACTACTACTACTCTTACTACTACTACTACTACTACTACTACTACTACTACTACTACTACTACTACTACTACTACTACGACTACTACGACTACGACTACGACTACGACTACGACTACGACTACGACTACGACTACGACTACGACTACGAGTACGACTACTACTACTACTACTACTACTACTACTACTACTACTACTACTACTACTACTACTATTACTACTACTACTACTACTACTACTACTACTACTACTACTACTACTACTACTACTACTACTACTACTACTACTACTACTACTACTTCTACTCCTACACCTACTACTACTCATATCCTTATTCCTTATTAGAATATACTCCTACTCCCCCCCAGGCCGGCAGATAGGGGCCGCATCCGGGTGGTCCCATCCTAACCTGTAAAAACAATACAAAATCAACATTTTTCTTATTTGTTCCTCTCGACATGGACGTCCTGTCGTCCACGGCGATAATCCATTGCAAAAAATACCACAAAGAGCACACGCGCGCGTTCATGTCAGAATCCTACCGAACACCGTGTGTTTGCACGCATTTCAACATAAAAACATCAAAAACCCAATGCTTTTTTCACAAAAATTGTACAAATATCCCGCCCGGGCTCTCTTGCTGAAATCATAGGAAAACCATAGGAATCTTAAGAATTCGGTCAAATCCAGCGATTTCACGTCATCGCGCGG